GTGTGACAAATGTGACTCAAAGGACTTGGGTTTTTTCCAGCATGATCCGTATACAGTTTGGGGGAGTTTTATTGTGAATAACTCACCTTATAATGCACACAAATATTTCCTTCCAGGGTTCTCTATTCATAAATCTTTCTTGATTCTCACTCCCTTGAACCTGAAATCCTAGGCTATTTTTTTTTCCTCCATCACTGAAAGAAGAGTAAAAAAGGCAGAGAACACCCTGGTGCTGGGTTTGTCCCTTGGTCTCGTCTCTGGGGACTATGTAGCCTGAATAAATAGCGTAGGTTAAATGACCTGACCGAAGTTGTGCAGTGGTTTGTGGCACAGCTGGGTCAGGGCGCAGACCCCGTGGGCCTGGAGCGGTTCTGCAGGCTCCCACCTTCATTCCGTGCTCCCAGGTCAGCCTCATGTGTCCCTATAATGCGAAAGGTTCATGGAAAGGCTTATGGTAAATCATCAGCTATATTAGTCCTTTAAATGCAAAATGTAAACAGTTGATTAAAGATAAGGACAGACTCTTTAAGCCTCTATGCCTAACTCTTACATATTTATCTTTCTTATTATTCTATTTGCATTTATAACACTATTTTGGTTTTCCAATGATGTCATCCCATGATGCCCTAAATTACCAAGTAATTCTCTTACTTGCTTGTGCTGATCAAACACCAGAATTTCAAATCAGGTCCTTTGAAGCACCAGATGCTCCTGTACTGCGTGTTTTATACCCGCTAGTCCAGCAGGTGGTATAAACATTGCTGCATGAGCAGGCAGCCGATTCCTTTCTCCTTTAAATATGCATATGTTTATACAGACACACGCCCACAGGCATGAATAGTTTTACCTTGGGAACTCGTTCTATACAAGAGCAAAACCACTACTGCAAATTACTTTTAAAGATGGCCAGGACTAAAAGCTGAGCGCGTAGCTGGCTCTAATACAGCTGCTACTGACGATGTGCTCGCTGCGAGGAGATTTGCTTTCAGAATTTATTATCTGGTTTGCTCCATTCCAGTCTCCCCCCTATAACTGGGGGATTTTTGCCTTACCAGGGCAGAAGGGGTGCTGCTCTGCCGTGATCACCATTCTGGTGTGAAGGATCCTCTCCTCACCTGAGCTGCATCCATGCGGATTTATTTCTGTCGGGCATGAGGATAAACACGCCCTGCATTGAAGGGTGCTCTGCTCTGCATTGAAGGGTGCTCCTCTCTCCTCCCTTTCCCCTTGGAAGGCAGCATGGCCCTTTGTCATGCACTGGCTTTTCACTGAAGGCCGGGAGATCTTGGGTGTTGGAAGCACCACGATGAAGTTCAGCGTGGCTCTCCAAGGCAGCGGCGTTAGTGAGCCGCCCGGGATGAGCAAGGGATGATCCCTACATTCATTCTCTTCCTGACAGATCTATCTGTCACCCTTAGTCTTCTGGCTTTCAGCCTCACTCCTTCCATTTCGAGATTTCCTTGTGGCCACCACTGTATTTATCACGATCTTGGCAAAGCTCCTTTCCTTGTGCCATCCCTTGTGCTTGGTGTGCAGCTCTGCTCCTCCTCCGTCTCGCTCCTAGAGCCAACAGGCACGTCTGCTCAGAGCTTCTTATCCTACCTAGCGTATTAACGACCTCCTGAAGAGCTCATGGAGTCCTAAGGATCCACACTGCAAGTGGCCTGGGTTCGGCTGCTCTTTCATGCACAGCCCTTATTAAATCCTCAGTGGAGCAATCCATGTGAGTGGAGGCTGCAGCTGGGGCCCTGGGGTCGCAGGGGCCCTGGGACACAGAGCTGGGCTTTGCATGTCCCCAAACACCCGCGATGACCCGTGGGAGCAGCGAGGGCCCCTTCACATGCACGAGCTGGAGGAGGCTGCAGGGATGCAGGGATTCCAGGGGGGAATTAGCCCTTCTATGCTAAGATGCCTCCTGCTGACTGCTGAAAAAGAAAGAGAAAAAAAAAGGTTTGCCCATGACTGCTATTAGCCTAATCATTCTTTTCTCTGATCTCCCCGTACTATTTGCTTTGTATGGCTTCATCAAGGTTTTGTTTGCGGAGAGAATAATTGAAAACAAATTTAGCATGTCTCAGACCATAAAGTTCCCTTTCAGCTAGATCACTGACTACGCGGTAGATAAATGTCTGTTTTTAATTTCTGGTTATGTGAGAAATTTAGTATGGTTTGATTTGTAATTTTGAACATTAATAAAGAAAAAGATATTTCCTTGTCCCCTGGCCTTTGCAAGGATTCTGGCTTTGTGTGCTTCCCCAGCAGCCACTACTCTTTATAAAACAGACTCTTTTGTGCAAAGTAGCATTCTTATTTCCTTGAACCATAGCGGCCCCAGCCATGAACTAAGACCTCTTTGTGCCAGGTCCTATGCAAATCCAGGAGGAAAACCTCATCTCTACCTGTACAGACTGTAATGCAAAGTGGTGTAATGCAAGGCCAATGGCTGGATGTCAACTGAAAGCAGGAAGGAAGAGGTCCAGGGAGCAGTGAATCAGCCCCGGTGCATAAGTGTCTTCAAGAGAACAAGAACATATCCGTTCTTTTCAAGACTATTGAAGAGTGTTGCAGACGGGGTGGGTTGTAGGGTGGAGATGTAAGCGAAGACCCTCCCTTGGGGATGAGGCAGGAAACTCTGTGCTGCGAGTGTTTAAGAACCTGAGGCTGGTATGTGGGGCTGGGTTGGGAAAGTTGGAGAATAGACGGGTTAACTGAGTAGAAAATGAGGGATGGGAGGGCGAAGAGAAGAGCTAGAGGGTGAGGACAGCTCAATGTCTGCTATGAGGGGACAGAGGAAGTGCAGGGATGTCGAGTGAGGGGTTTCCAGCAGGGTTTGGAGGGGTGTGAGCAGCCAAGACTGCACGTGCTGAGGCCACAGAAAAGGGTGTTGCAGGAATCATTAATTTCTGAAATGTTTATACACAGCTTAGCATTTCAGTTCTCAAAAGCATAGACACATTTTCTACAGACTTTTAGATTGGGGCGGGGGGGAAGTAGATTTTTGGTGTTTTTTTGGTGTTTTTTTTTTCTTTTTCTTTTTCTTTTTAATTTCATTCGCAGCAGAAAACACAAGCTGAGCTGGGGCAAAGCCTTTTTAGTGAATGTTAGTTGGGATGTAAGCTAGGTATGTGTTTGCAAGCTGGACAGCACATAGGGCCTGGCCAAAAGCCAACTGAAGTCACCAGGCCTTTTCCATGCTTTTTGTTAAGCTTCTGTGCAGGTCTGTGCAGATCCGTAACATCAAAGCATAGGGGTGGATGTTGTATCCCTGGCAGTGGTGCCAGAAGAAGGACACTTTAGTCACTCCTTACTGCCTCTCCTACCAGCCAGAACAGGGAGCTTTGCCCCAGGTGCCAGGAGTCACCTCCTCTTCTTGACTTCATCCACCCAACTGGGAAAGGCCACAGCAAATTAGACACTCATGCCCCAAAACAGACCTTTCCAGGGGAGTTATCAATCCTTTTTGGAGACCACCAATGAAGTTCTGGTAATGGAGAGCTTAAGTCTGGAATTCTTTTCCTCTTGATGTTCTTAATATTATAGCCATTAATAACATGTTTTCATTAGCTACCTTCCATGTGTACTGCGTACTCCAGTAAATACTCTTAAGAGGAAATATGTCTCAGAGAGTAGAAAAGAGGCTGGTTTTGTTATAATGCATGTCTTTTATATATGTCTACTGATCTATATGCACATTTTTTAAGACTTTTTGATTGCTTGATATGAGGGAGTTGCAAGGCCTGTGTGTGATACTTCATGTTTGATCTCTTGCCAGCTTCACGGCTACATGGAGAACAAACCCTTGGGTCTTCAGATCTTCATTGGGACAGCGGATGAGCGGATACTTAAACCTCACGCGTTCTATCAAGTCCATCGCATTACGGGAAAAACCGTCACCACCACCAGCTATGAAAAAATCATCGGCAACACCAAAGTTCTAGAGATCCCACTGGAACCCAAAAACAACATGAAAGCAACGTAAGCAATTTTTAAAATTATTACTAGCAAAGTTGAGGAGGATTAAATTGGCATGCAAAGTTCCTCCTACAGAAAGGACTCGCTTAAAAGAATAAAGATGTTTGCTCTAGAGGGGCTCTCCAGCACATTGGGATGATAGATGAATTTAAGGCTTTTTTTTTGTGCGTGTGTGTAAAAATGTGAACAGAGAAGCTGGATTAAAGCTGCTTAAAGAGTTACCACTCATCAGCTGACCGCATACATATATTTTTTTCCTATTTACTGTAATTACAGCAGTGACTGTATTGTAATCATTTGTCTTTGCACTGCAGTGATACAATGAGAAAAGGTGCAAGAGCAAGGACCAGTTGGCAGTGGAGGTGTGGGTTTTATTTTAGGGCATTTAATGGAATAGAGTGCATCTGAACTTGGCCAAGTTGCTCTGGCCATGAAATCATAGTCTCTCCTGCTGTAATATATCAACCAAAAAGCAAGTACAGGCACATATTTTCTATATTATTTCTTTTAGTTTTATGGAGGCAGAGGGATGAAGTGGGCACCAGTCTGAATCTTCAGGCTTGAATATATTCCAGACAGCTTCAGAGTGATTGCTCTGTCGAGGGAAGAGCTGTCTCTGTCCTTCAGAGGATACTGAAAAAAATTGGCAGAGCTGCTATGTTTTTAAACTCCCTGCTTCATCACAAAATCCACATTTTTTATATATATACATATATTTTTTTCAGAATAAGTACCTCATTTATCCCTTTCACTTGAGCATCTCCTTCCCCCTACGCCAAGGAAATAAATAATAGTGCACATCTCAAGCTTGAGCAGCCAAGCACTAAAGCCAGACACTAAGTGTCTGTTCCTAATGAGTAACCCTAGAATAATAAACCCAAGCACATGTACAGTGGCAGGCTCAATGTGGGTATAGAAAACACTGGGGTTTATGCCTCCTAAGAACTTATTTTAATTCTTAATGATGAAGGACACATAGTGTATGTATCAAAACAATTGGTATTGTCCATTTAGCAACAGTTATTGTCGCACCCTCTGTGCGGTGTTGCTGGACTGAAGGCCCTACCTCTGGCCCTGCTCTGGGCTAGGACATGTCTGAGCCCTGCAGCCAAGGACCATTTGGAGGAGAGGTCTAGCAGCAGCCTCGCGTCCCTGGGGCATCCTTTGCTGAACCCTTTACGGGTTGCTTGCTCTGTGACCCGTTCAAATGGCAACATTGAGATCCTGGAGGGAACAAGACTTTGGAGCTCCTCCTAAGCACTTAGTCCTCAGGAAAATCAGTCCTAGGAAAACGCAGTCCTTGTGACAGGGGTCCGTGCAGGGGTTGGTTTGCGAGCGTGTTAAGCTGTGCCTGCTCTAAGTGGCTTCTGTGCTTGGCAGCATTGACTGTGCGGGGATTTTGAAGCTGAGGAACGCGGACATCGAGCTGCGTAAGGGAGAGACGGACATCGGCCGGAAGAACACGCGCGTTCGCCTCGTCTTCCGCGTGCACATTCCGGAGTCCAGCGGCAGAATCATTTCTCTGCAAGCGGCATCCAACCCCATTGAGTGCTGTAAGTATTCCCTGAGATTCGCTTCTTGCAATAATGATGCTGCAACTTAGCATGGAGGGGATAAAAACGATGTCCATGCAGCAGTCAAATAAGCAAAATGCCAAGTGCTCTGATGTTGTGTTGCTGGATGACTTGGTATAATCATGGAGCTTGGACTTCACTGAGCGTCTTCTTTTCTGGCACATGAATCCCCACTGAAGACTGTGGGATGGCCCAAAGGTTTGAGTGAAGGTGGGACAGAGACCTAGTCATGGGGCAGAGTCTGGCTGCCCGGTGTGTGCTCTGGACAGAAGGAAGTTTTGGTAGGATGTGGACTCCTTTGAGCGCTCCTGGGGCCTGTGAGGGCAGCAAGGTATTGCAGAGCTTTCAAACATGTTGTTTGATAGTTTGTTCCTGATGGATCCTTGTGGCTAGGAGGTCTTTTGTGGGAGCGGTGGTGCTGGTGTGGCCGTGTGGATACGGGCGTACGCTCTGTGTGACTGCAGTGTTCTGTCTACCTCCCAGGCAGTGATTTTTTTAGGAGCATTGTAAGAAGAAGCTGTTATCCACAAGCCTACAGGTGTTAGGGTGCTTGAAATTCAAGCCTGGACCAGATCCCATCATTGTGACCAATCCTTCCTTTTTAAGGAGTGACCACCATCCTCTGATCCGAACTGTGCCAGCAGCACAGGTGAAATGGAGCAGACGTTTGTTTGGGAGCTCATCCTGGTTATTGTTTTTCTAGATGACAGCTCACAGGGGTGTGCGGCTCAGGAGGCTGCAGCGAGCCAGGAAAAGCCCCAGTTATTCTGGTATTCCCCCGAGGCACAGAAGAAAGCTTGCAGTTTTGATTCCTCAGGCGAATCCTGCAAGCATGTAAACTGAGAAACCTGCACCTCCCACTCATTTTAACGTACTGGATCCTGAGAAAGAGAGGCCTCCTGCAAGGTGCCCCAGAGTCACAGTCATTTCTTGAAGGGCTCCACCCACTTTTCTGGTTTATGTGCATCCTGTGATGCTTTTTGTTGGTAAATGGTGCCTTTTCAGTGGTTTGGGGATTTCACAAATACAAAATGAACAGTTTCCCTCTCCCTGAATGACTCATCCCCTTAGCAGAACCTATCTTGCCGTGTATCATGCAAGGAAAGTCATTGAAGAGCTTCTCGTGTGCGAGTTCTATTTATTGAGAGGTAGACTCTGCTTAAATATTGACTACTTACTAGTTACAATAATAGGGGAGCCAGTTTTGGATGGGAAATCGAGAGAAAACTACTATGAATTATTGATATTGGCTTTGAAAAGAACTGTAGAAATGGATAAACAAGACTAGGGAGAGGATGATGGGCAGATATGATAACTTCTGTGAGAAGATACCACCTATCCAAGTGTTTCACCAGCTGTGTGAAAACTCCTGGCACCCAGAGGGAGAAAGGAGAATAGGGGGAGTAGCCACCAGCTTTCTCCATAGGAAACAGTTATGGTCCTTTATGGAACCAGATGGTTGAAACAATAGTGGCCTCCACCCCAACCAGGCACCTGTCCCAGCTCAAACAAAGGCCCATTTGCTAAAGGAAGCCTTTGATAAACTGCAGCTTCTGTGGATAGAAAAGAAGGCAGCAAAGGATCACTGACTGCCCCTGCAATTTCTTTTCCTAGTGAAAACTGCTTCCTCCTGCCCAAAACTGGGAGTTATTTGGGTGGCATAACTCCAGGTGTAGCTCTTACTTTCTCTCTGCTGAAAAATGAAATAAGCCCAGGGCAAAGGGTGATGATCTGTTGATTACGTGGTTATGCAGTGAGCCCTGCTGCCCCTGCCCCAGTTATTTGAATTCTCCTACAAGGAAGAGCAACTAACTCTTTCAGGAGGAGTTTGCCAGGCATTTCTAAGGGCCTTCCAAAATGGCACATTATATTTGTGCCCATGATCAAAGAGAAGGCAGACACCTGGTCACAGTTGAGTACAAATGAGTAGACTGCATTTTCCAAATTGCACATACACTTCTAATTTCCCTGTGCAATGACTGCTATTTGCAATAGTTTCCTTAAGATGCTTGAGCGCTTATTCTAAGGATATGTTCACTTTGATGGGTCTTAAAGGCATAAAAAACCACAAGTGGAGGTACCGATTTAAGTAGCTTACTTATAAGATTATTGGAATCAAATCGAAAATATTAAAATGTTGGCTGCATAGCAGACAATAAAGATCCTAAGAGGAAAAGAATGCATTTATTCACTAAGAAGAAATGAATTTTTTATCTCTTGGAAACTGGATATACCGGTAATCTTGCAGGGATATGTTTAGGACTGTCTTTTACTGTGAATTCATGGAAGTAGAATATGAAATAATCCAGAGGAAAAAACCCATTCCATTTGCAATGTGCATTACATATTTAACTGTGCTCATACATTTTAGTACCACTTTTTCATATCAGCCCAGTTCTGTGGAGATGCTTAATAACACAGGTTGATTCAACCAGCATTAGAAATACAGGTTAAATCGCATTATCGATGATAAGTCTAAGTTTCTGCAGGACAGTCTGCATATTTCAGCTTCTCTGAGCCGAAAGGAGCTCTGAAGTCCCCTGACCAGCACTGATGTTGAAGAAGGAGACAGGCTGGGGCTCTGCAACATCTTCTCCTTGGCCCCACATCCTTGCACCACCACGGTGCTCATTTTTCCTTTGTTTACTTATCCTTCTAGTATTATTATTTTCTTTTTAACGCGGCCATTTGGGAATCCTTGCTCCCAAGGGCCTCCTCTGTAGGCTCCCTCCTGCGTGGTAGCTGTTAATAGCGCCCGCGGGCAGAGTCAGTAGCAGCTCTCCGATAACCCGCCGCTCGCCCAGCCCGCGGCTCCCCCGGGAGCCCCGGTGCTACCAACGGGCTCTCCGAGCGCTCCCCCTGCAGAAGCCGGGGCTGGTGAGAGCTCCCAGCGGTGTCAGCAGCTCGTTAGCTGCAATGAAGCAAGAGCTGCCAAGTCTCTGCTTCTCGCGGGGGGCTCCGCTTGCACCTCATCTGTGTCACACGCAGCCCTTGGCAGCTTTTAGGAGGGGATTTCACAGGTTCGGAGAATCATCCGGAGCGAGTTCCTCCCCAGGCAGCTGTGGGGGAGGACCAGGGGGGTGGTATGTTGTTAAATGATGGGTTATGCCTCAAAACGGCCCTTGTATCCAGATGTGCCTGCATGTTCAGCAGCTCTTCCCTCCTCTAGCTGGCTGATTCATTCCGGAGCCTCTGGGGAGGCCAAGGCATTTTCGAGTGCTCTGATAACTGCAGCAGCAGCCTGTCCTCTAGGTAGGGGTCAAGAGCTTCCGCTGGAAAGGTGAGGAAGACCCTTCCCTGGGTGCTGCATTGAGGCCAGGCAACAGCAGTACAGCCAACAACAGCACAGGTATCGCTGGGACCCACAGCAGGTCCATACAGCAGCACCTTCCCTAGCCCAACAGCCCCCTGCGCACGCGTGAAGTGTCACTGGGCTAACTTGTCCCTTTAACCACAGTAACAACAGTCCAGCGGGGACGTTATCCCCAAGGGTTTTGGAATTTACAGACGTGACCATTATTTTGAGACTGTTCGAAGAATTTCTGTAATGTTAGTTCTGTTTGCTTTCACTTGCCTTTCACGATGAGCAGAAGCTCATTTCTTGGCAAATGATTGATCACTGAGGTGATGTTTCTGCTCCTTCACTGGAACGTCCATAAGGCAGAGAGGGAGGAGCATTGAAAGGGTTTCAGGGCAGCCAAGTGAGCACTTGTCGGGCTGATGCAGACGTGTGGTTTGTTTTACTCTACAATCTTTGCAACCAAAAATTGCTTTATGCAAACGCTTGTGAGATGTGCATGTAAAGAGTGCGAGCACCATTCGCTCCGCATCGCAGCTTTCAGTTTAATGGATCTTGGTTAATCCTCCCCAAAGTGTTTCACAGTTCTCACGTTACATAATAACGTGTTTGCTGCTACTGAGTTATGCTTATGAATCCCGTAAAATGTAAATGATTGCTCTTGGCATGAGAAGGACAAGGATTCCAAAATCTTGTTCTTATAAGTTCTATTCCGAGGTGGTAAAAACAAAAACAAACAAACCAAAACTTATTACTTAAGAACAGAGTGTCCATTTGAGGAACTTAAATGGTTTCTATTATTGACAGTATTTTGTTCCACTAAATTGGGTCAAATATCTTATTTCCTTTTAATCAATTTCCCTGGAAGTTTCCTTTATTTTTCTCTCCTTCTAGTAGATTTTCCCATAAAACTAGACATTCTGAGCCTGTGATATGTGACACATTAATAACTACAGAGGAAAGAGCTAGTCATTTGAAGGAATGTTGTCTTGGCAAACCAACGCGGGCTTTTCCTTGGCTGTGAGTTGGCTGGGTGAATACCAGCTTGGCAGGCAAGAATCCTTGCTTATTGAGATTAAAAAGCAGAAATGAGTGGTATCTTTGCACATGGGAGATGCCCACTTGCAATTTTAAGCAGGAGGGTGGTTATTACAAGTGTCATGGTTTGCAGTTAAATTAGAAAAAAATCCCCTCCCTGCCTTTATTTCGACTGCAGGACCATCATCCGATTTGTCACAAACACAGCTGACACAAAAACAGATGCTTTTTCTAAAGTAAAAATTTTCCCTCTCCTAAAACACAGTGTTTAAAGGTTAATTTTGACATTTGCCACTTTTAATGCACAAGCAGAAGATTTTTAGGCTGGAAACTCTGAGTCAGAAGGAAGGCGAGCGCCCGCCCGCCCTTTCTGCAGGCGGCAAGCCTTGGTATGAGCGTGAGCTCCTGTTTGCTTCTCGTCTTCACACTGCTGCTGGTGGGAGAAGCAAGCAGCCCAGCGCGTTGCACAGGCCGTGGATTTCTGGGCATACATTAAGCTCCGCAGACCTCCTCCACGAGGGATTAAAGGGAAATGCTGTGCATACCCGCAGTGATGATCGACACAGAAGTGAACCGAGGCCATGGTTTTCCTGTCATTAATCACGCGCTGGTTTGGTGAGCTGGCTGCAGTTCATAGAAAGCG